TTTCGATAAATTTTGTTAATTTGTTAATCAAAACACCATATTTTCAGTATTTCATAAGGGTCTCAGGTTTTAGTAGTAAGAAGATTTACTTTTACATTCCCTTATTTATATTCAACCAATTTGGAATATACCGTAGATATACATTCATGTATATTACCGGAATATTTGTTTACAACATACTAGGTATATTCACCTGCACATATACACAATATGTACATACCTGGCATGTTCATCTGCACACATACCCAATATGTACATATATGTACATACCTAGGATATACTTTTTATGAACTTTGATGAATATACATGCATGTATATTCCACGAACATTCGTGTTAGGAATGTTCACCTATGTATATTCCCAGGATATTCCCGCAATGTTCTGTATATTTTTTGAACATTCTGGGATATTCATAGAATATCAAATGCTATCTGGGCAAGGGACATTTTTTCAAACATCCGGTGCATACCAATTTGATTTTGTAGGAATAGATTTCAAGCAGAAAATTATCAATCTGGATGGTGTTCCTATAAAGCTTCAAATTTGGGACACCGCTGGACAGGAACGCTTCAGAACTCTGACCACCGCTTATTATAGGGGAGCGATGGGGATTTTGTTATTATATGACGTTACCAATTTGGAGAGTTTCAACCACATTACCTACTGGCTTCAAAACATTGATGAGGTAAGCACTTGGTGGCACTATTTAGATATTCCATTAAACACTACCTTACCGGTTCAATGTTCAGAATGCGTCGCCCCACTGTATCACGGTTTTAGCGGGAAACAAGTGCGAGTCTAAGGACAGGATTGTAGAAACAGAAAACGGACAGAAGGTATAAGCGAGTTGAAATTCTACTGAGCCACAAATCTTAATAGCAGCTTTCAGATTGCTGAGCACTTTGATTTGCCCTTCTTGGAAGTCTCCTGCAAGGACAACATTAACATAGAAGCGTGTTTTATGTGCTTGGCTCGAAAAATTCGCGAGAAACGGGAACAAAAGGTAGGTTTTCAATAAATTCATCAAATGATGAATGAATGAGCACAGTGAACAGTTAAAACTTTCTTAGGGTTACCCATTTGTGGACCCTCCACAGAACGACAAAACCGACTTGCTGCTGAAACCCAAGTCCGACATGCGAGGATGCTCTTCGTCTGGTTGTTGAAAAGTCTGCTGGCCGCCGAAAATACTTGCAGTTTTTGCTTGATTTCAATCGGTTGGATTCAGTTGTAGTGGAGGGCAATTTTTCTTTAGACAATTCACGAAATTGCTCCATTTTGGCTCAATTGTATATATAAGTTGACGCTACATCACTGTGATTTTTTGCTAAGCGTACCGCTAAATTGTACAGGGTGTAGACTGAAAGTCTTTTACATTTTAAGGGGTAGATACTTAAATAGATGTCGTGTATCTAGAAGACCGTTTAAGTAAACATTTATTTTCTATTTCTTTACCGATTGATTATCAATTGAACGAACTGAGAAAAAAATATTAAAATTGGACTTTTGTTACGATAAAGTCACTGTGATTAATCCTTGTTTTGAAGCTGCTGATGATTTCCAAGCTCCAAGCGCACAAATAACTTGATTTATGATTTTTAAGACTGAGCTAATGGAAAATTTTACTGCAAATTATTGTTCATAGAGAACCTCACTCTGTTAGTTACAAGTAAGATTGATCCAGGCAGATGTAGAATTAATTCATTCAAAATATAAGTGAATAACTTTACACAGTAGTGCTCATGCGATTTTTCAATTCGAGGCAATCTGACCTTTGCTGTAGTCCCTACATCCAAAAATGCAACGACGCGCGATTGTATCAGAGAATAGTTTCAGAACAAGTTTCAGATGTAATGCACTCTTACCTTGGTCACCCTGTATAATGCTCCTGTTTTCCAATATACCGGGTCTCAATTTGAAAACTTCCCACCCTTAATATCCGGCCAACGATTTAAGTCGCAAAAATCGCCAACATTTCCTTTACAATCGCTAATTTTCTGGTTTAAAGTAACATTTTCCGGTCCTTCCTTCGAGAGACAATTCCAACAAATAATACACTTTTTCCAAAACGAACGCGTAAAAACCGGTTCATTTAAAACTTCAATTGCAATAAGTACTGCTTTAATACTTCCTGAAATAATGGAAATTTTCGGCACATTTTAAGCGTTTTTTGAGCCTTCACGATTTTTAGCCGACGATTTCTTCCTTATTATTGACCCAAACACTTTATACATGCACATTTGTGACCTTCTTAAGTCGAAAATCTGCCAGTGTTCCTGGACCTTTTTGACGTAAGTTCTTATAGCTTCTGCTATGTTAATGTGGCATTTTCCCATAACTAATCAAATACAAGGGCGGATCCATGGAGGGGCATTCTCTATCCAACGATGCCAAAACGAATTCTCTGGTTCGAATGGTTCTTGAGAAACTTCGAAAAAAGCAGCGTCATGTTCACCACGCAAATCTAAAACTTCTTGAATTCAAGCATTTTTTAAAGAAAACTGCCAACATTTCCCCATTCATGGTTCACTTTCTGAAAAGGCCATTTATTTCTGTCTAGAATGATGTACAAATGAGCGTTCTTGCTCATTTTGCCTCCGAGAAATGAGCAAAAA